AATCCTGAAAGGCCCCAGACCTTAAAAGGATGGGCTCGAAAGATGGGTACTGTTGATGGTGCCCCATTAATTGCAAATTTGGTTGGAATAACGAGCTGCAACTTCGCCTTGGTGCATGGTGATGAAGCAAAAGTTAGATAATGTGATAATATTAGATGGGTTTATCAATAAATTTGAAACATCCGTGTGGGTCAAGTCCTTGGGAGCCCAAACATTGACCCATCGCCAGAAGCTATTCATGAACATGGCCAGATTTTTATTTCGTGCCCGGTGTCGGTGCTTTGTTTTCGGGTGTGTGTCTGCGTGCCCAGATCCAAAAGAACCAACAAGAGCACACCTTCTGAGATGGTTGTTCGATATACATCGAATGAAATATGTGCTTTTTTGACCCCCAGATCCACACCAGATCCCAATGTGGGTATATCCAACAAAGAGGGATACCCTCAATTCGTCAATTCGACGCAAATGACTTAATGTATGTACATTTACATATATATATGTAAATATTTTGTATATATATATTTATATTTACAGAATATATATATATATATATTTACAGAATATATATATATATTTACAGAATATATATATATATATATATATGTAATACACACATACTGCAATTCTGTACAGAGTGGTGAAAAGGATGAGAAACACCTGGGATTTTTTGGGGTTCAAACCGGCGCAGGTTTCTACCTGCTGGGCTATGGCGCTTTCTACCAGACCTTGTTGGACCTTCCGCAGCACGCGCTACCGCAGCGTGGCGCGGGACCTCGTGGCACTTCTTCGCTTCCCTCGATGCTGAGAGACTCCTGGGAGAAGGCCTTGACTGAACACATGGAGTCTGGGATGCATCGTTTGTGTGGGAAATTCTCAGCAGTATATGTTCTTATATATAACACATATTGAAGCAGGTTAATCGGTGAAATAGCCATGGTATTTGGAAAATTGTTTTTTTTTTAAGAGTGCGTGTGTGTGTGATTGTATTTTTTACTAGCAGTTCGTGAATTACCCAGGTTGACTAGTGTATGGTTTTGGTCAAGAATGCTCTATGATGTTTGAAATGATGATGATTATTATTCCGAGTGATGCTGCAAACACCCTTTGAGAAGATGTTTGGACCAAAAAACATCCAAAATGCAGTGTCAGATGTTTTGAGCTGTTGGGCACAGTGATTATTATGTTTATCACATGTGCTTCACTTCGTTCTATATATATATATTACTTCTCTGGATCATTGTTTATATCTATGCGAGAGATCCGACCTACTCAGATATGTATATATATATATATACTTTTAATATGATATCATGCTTAAGTACGTACACCATATTAAAAACAACGGGCCATTTCTATATACTGTACCTATTATTATCAGGCCATTCAGGTGATGTGTGACTCAGCCTCAGGAGAGCTCCAGTGTCTTGGCCGAGGTCATCAGCTGAACACTTGGGTTTTGATGGGGAAACCATGAGGATTTTTTGTACCGTTTTACCATGAAACACAGGGATTTCATGGGAGTATCCATAACTGATGTAACTGCGAGATGCTGCGGCCGGAATCGCGAATATGGTTGAAGCAACTAGTATAAACCAGGTGGTTTATGGTAGACAACAATCATGCAGTTTCAGGCATTATGGTTGGTCGTTTACTTCATTCTCTCCAATATTAAAGACCCCGCCAGAAGCCTTAACTTAGTAGGGGATTTAGACACATTTTGGACCCACTCCGGTTGTCTTAGAAATATCAAGGACATGGGATTAATGTCAATCCTGGATTTGTAAACCCTGCTGAACTAAAAGCCGAGGGTATCTTCCATTTACTTATTTACCACATCATTGCCACATTTCATAAACACATGGTTATTTACCTTTGGAACATATCAGTCATGAACTTACCTGTTGGTGGTTTAACACAACTATGGAAATTGCCTGAACATAGCCAATTTGCAAATGATTTAGTGATTTAGATGTTAAACCTACAAGATATTTGAAAAAGGTCAACTTGAATGATGCGGTGTTATTGATCATGGATTTACCAATTGATTATTGACATATACCTTTTCAATATACTGGATAATGTACATATTAATGAACTTACCACACGTATTGAAACATAGGTCAAACGGGGATTAATGCGTAACGGTCCATTTATATATATATATATAGAACATTCAGGATTTCACATTTATGTATATATATATATTACATGATTAGTTCATATTAGTTGACCATAAATATATATATATGTTGCTTGTTCGACATGTACATCCAATAATTACTTCAAGATGAACCAGATTTTGAAAGGTAGCACTTTCCAAATCCATGACTGTCCATGACTTCCCCGAGGCAAAGGTGTCTTGGATCCCAACGCCTTGCGTTTGCAGCTGGTGCCCCGCGCCCTGGATCTGCACCTCGGAAGTTGCGATGGGGAGAAGAGCAAGAAACATGGGTTGAAAAACGATGATTTGATGTGGATATAGTTGTGAATATATATATATATATGTATATACAAATATATATATATATATGTAAATATCGTTATATATCACAATATTAATATAATTCCCCACCTGCCAGGTGAGGGTTGTTAGATTTTATGTCAGTTGCCTCCTCCTCCTCCTGCTCCTCCTCCTCCGCCTCCTCCTGCCTCGTCCTCCTCTCCTCCTCCTCCTCGTCCTCCTTGTCATCCTTGTCGTCCTTGTCGTCCTCGTCGTCCTCGTCGTCCTCGTCGTCCTTGCTCAACTGTGACCCGCGATCCACAGTGTTCTCTGCCGGACCTCAACCACGACCACCCACGCCCAGTGTTCCCTGCCGGACCTCAACCACGACCATCCACGCCCAGTGTTCCCTGCCGGACCTCAACCACGACCATCCACGCCCAGTGTTCCCTGCCGGACCTCAACCACGACCATCCACGCCCAGTGTTCCCTGCCGGACCTCAACCGCGAGTATCCATGCCAACTGTTCCCTGCCGGACATCAACCACGACCATCCACGCCCAGTGTTCCCTGCCGGACCTCAACCACGAGTATCCACGCCAAAAGATATGCCACATAGAGTGCCAGAAGATATGCCAGATAGAATGTTAGAAGATATGCCAGATAGAATGCCAGAAGGTATGCCAGATAGAATGCCAGATAGAATGTCAGATAGAATGCCAGAAGATATGCCAGATAAAGTGCCAGAATGTTTGCCAGATAGAATGCCAGCAGATTTGCCAGATAATATGCCAGAAGATATGCTAGATAGAATGCCAGATGGAATGCCAGAAGATTTGCCAGATAATATGCCAGAAGATATGCCAGATAGAATGCCAGATGGAATGCCAGAAGATATGCCAGAACATATGCCAGAAGATATGCCAGAAGATATGCCAGAACATCTGCCAGAAGATATGCCAGAACATCTGCCAGAAGATATGCCAGAAGAATGCCATATGCCAGATAGAATGCCAGATCGAATGCCAGAAAATATGTCAGATAGAATGCCAGAAGATTTGCCAGTAACAAAATGTATAAATGTCATGGTGGGGATCACACGAAGTAAAGTAATTATACTGAGTTGTTTTTTGTGAATTTAATCATGAAGCATATTTGAACATTACAAGTGCAAACTTCACCGGGCAAAGTTTGGATTTCCATGGATTTCGTTTCGTCAGGCGTGCTCCAAAAACGGGGGATACCCCAAGTTTACCATTGCACATGAGGAAAATGATGAGCAACAACCAAAGTCTTGGGGCAGCCTATTTTGAGACAAACCCACATGAATCATGTTCGTTGTTGGTTGTGGTATTGTTGAATACTGTTGCCGGTCATCAGTTTTGGATGCAGTATTAATGAATGTCACTGTTTTGGTATACTGTACTTGCTGATTGATCGGTGAACTATTGTCGGTTGTTGTTCATTGTTTCTTTGTTGCGTGATAATGTATTATATTGTATTACATATTATTTTACATATGTGTTTATAAATACGGGCATTAGTTAAGTCACATGGCAATATTAAATATATATATATATACACATAATATGTGTATACTATGGGACATGTACACTTTTTATGTCTGTATAATACATTAATAATTACTGTAATTGTGTGTGTATATAAATATATATATATTAAATATTATTAAATTGCTAGCTGCTTATATCCAATTCTACCAGGCCCCTCTTAGGGCTCTCCACCCTCAAGGCACTCCTTTGATGCGCGAAAAGTAAAGGTCATGGCCGGCGCACGAGTTGACAAAGGCTGCCTGGAAGCAATGGTGCAGTTGGAGGTTTCCTGGATGTTAACCATGGTGAAGCATGGTGAATGATGGTGAATGATGGTGAACCATGATTAATGAATAACGGGTAATAATGGTTATAGGTTTTTTGCTTCCCATTCACCGTCACTATTCTCACCTGCACCTCCAGCTTACAGAGTCGCACACCTGGCAATGACAACTTGTTGTAAGCATCAAACAATGCTGGAACTCCTGGCCAACGCCCGTAGCCGATATATAACCTGCTGGTAAAATTGAAATTTAGCAGGGTTGCTCCAACTGGTTGGTGGCTTGGAACATTTGGATATTTTTTCATATATTGGGAATAATAATCCCAACTGACTTTCATATTTTTCAGAGGGGTGGCTCTACCACCAACCAGATAAAAATCAATCGCGGCCACATGTAAACAGGTCCCTTTTCTTCTTGATTTACATTTTTTCCCCACGTGAAAAAAAGGGCGTTGAGAGTTGGGAGCTGATTTCTGCATGGTCAACATGCCAGCCTTGACCAGAATGGCCAACGATTGCTGCTGAGTTTTTTGGTTTGGATGGACTTACCCTAGGGATATCCCCCCAATAGGAGTCTAATAAGCTCCTAGTAGGGGTTAGGAAAAAAACGGGTTTGATGACTCGTAAGTCTAGCGCCTTATTGGCAGGGATACTCAGGGTGGAAATCGGAGGCCCCGATCCAAGGCATGATCCTCCTACCTGCTCACAGCATGGCTTGGTTGCAGAACAAAGTCAGGTGCCATTGGGTGATCAAGAGAAGCCTTGGGAAAGCTGGAGATCATTCAAGTGATTTCTGACTTATCAGACAATGTTGTGTATCACTGCTTGATCTTGTCATGCAGCCGCTTCTTGGAATTCAACGATTGTTCCATGGTCCATACCTGATGGTGGATCAGATAATAAAACTTGGTCTTCAATGAGCAGGCTTGCATGAAAACATAGCAGAGAGAATACCTACCATCAACACTTTCCCCAACCACTTTTCCCCAATAGGTCATATAATATCATATACTATGATAGATAAGCACCTGCCTCCTACGGAGTTGCGACCTACTCCTCTCATCCCCTGCCCCCCGATCTGCTGATTTCAATGAAAGCAGCAGGATTTCCGGAAGCTTCCAACACGCCTTTAGTCACACGGCCGCATCAAGGCTACCTCTGGTAAGACAAGCTGCGATCACGCAGGCTATGTAATGATAGTACAATATCTAGTGGTATTTTTGTGCATTATTTGCAAATGGTACTATAACTATGACAAGCAAGCATTTGGATTTGGCCAAGAATATTGGGATGTATGAGTATTGCAACGGGAATACAAGTGGTGCGGGGGTTCAAAGATGTTTTCCTTTGCTGCAATTCTGGAATGGTGGTCCCACTTGCCGAGTGAGCTTTCCAGATGCACCACCAACCTCTACTAGTTTCCCAACTGATAGTGATGTAAACTGGTGCGGCATGAAAAAGACAACATGAGAATGCCAAATTATCATGGCACATGAGTTGGGTCATCTACTTTCAGATCGGTGTATATATATATATGTAAATGTATATATATATATATATTATATATATAAATATATATATATATATACAAATAGATATATATATAGTGTAAAAATATTTATATATAGTGTATATATATATATATATATAATAGTTTTTTCTCAATAAATGATACATTATGTTTTGCACATTGTATATATATATACATTCCCTCAGTCCACCTTTGCCATAGCAAGGCTTCCAACTGCGCCCCGCGGACCCCACGACCACGTCGTCAGCCTCACGGCCTGGGGAGTATGGCGCACGGCTGGCGTTGTGCTTCCAGCCACGGTGGTCGCCGCAGGAGCTCTCGAGTGGTGCCTGGGATCTGACCAAACCATTGGTCGCCATGGGTTTTCCCATACCTAGACAGACTCATATGGGGGGTTCCATAAGTGGGGGTACCCCAATTTGGATGGTTTATAACTAATTGAGATTCCTATTAAATGGATGATTTGGGGTACCCCCATTCTAGGATTAAGTCTAAGCAGTGTTGACACCATTGATTTGAAATCACAGTTTGGAATCTTGCTAAACTCTTTAGCGGTGGGGTTGCGTATGAACTATGCAGTTAGCTAAGATTGGAATTTGGAATCTCAATTGGATTAGTTCATTCACGTGTTGGTTTACCGACTGTTTTCATTCTAAGATCACTGGCGTATGATTGGATGGCTCAAGTCATTTGGTACAAAGGGTCCCCTCTTGGTAGGATTTAATATTTATACATTATATATGTTTATAGAGAGAGAGAGAGGGATTATAATTTGGAATAAGAACGAAATTTGGGATAACCACCAGAATCGTGAATTCATAGTTCTGGGTGGATATTACCAATTTGTGATTGAATGGGTGAGCATAAGCCAATTCATACCTGAAAGGGGGCCGACTTTGAAGCAACCTGACAGTTGTGACAATGATACTTTTCCAATGATGTGTTCCTGTTGGAAACGGCTATGCTTGGTTTCGTAAATGGGTCCGCAGAGAACATGCTATACATCGTACATCGATGTACACTTGCAATGTCGTGTCCCCAGTCACATGTGTTGGTTTATAACCCCCCATTAACTATGAACGGGGACGTCCATTCAGGGCCTACCTTGAAGTCCCTGGAGGGTACCCTGGTGTCTACTGCACATACAGAAAGTGATTTGAAAGTATGTCATGTCAACGATACTGGAAAACTATAGAGATATTTGGGATAATTAGCAGTAAAATTGGGATATAGATATAATGGAATAATTAGCAGTAATTAGCAGTAAAATGCATTTGGGAAAATTATACTAAGATTAAGAAATGACATGAATTCAAGGATAAGATAAGGCACACTTTTAGAGAGCCAAACATTGACTTCCAAAAGCCGTCCAGGCAAAAGAAAAACAATCTCTGAATACACAAGCAAATGTGGTTTGGACTATAATCAAAAACAACAATTTACTGAATGTAACCCTAGAAGAACCAAAAACACACACAAAAAAAAAAACTTTACTTCGTGTGATCCCCACCATGACATTTATACATTTTCTTACTGGCAAATCTTCTGGCATTCTATATGACATATTTTCTGGCATTCGATCTGGCATTCTATCTGGCATATCTTCTGGCATTCTACCTGGCATATCTTCTGGCAGATGTTCTGGCATATCTTCTGGCAGATGTTCTGGCATATCTTCTGGCATATCTTCTGGCATTCCATCTGGCATTCTATCTGGCATATCTTCTGGCATATTATCTGGCAAATCTTCTGGCATTCCATCTCGCATTCTATCTAGCATATCTTCTGGCATATTATCTGGCAAATCTGCTGGCATTCTATCTGGCAAACATTCTGGCACTTTATCTGGCATATCTTCTGGCATTCTAGCTGACATATCTTCTGGCATTCTATCTGGCATATCTTCTGGCATATATTCTGACATATCTTTTGGCATTCTATCTGACATATCTTCTGACATTCTATTTGACATATCTATCTGGCATATCTTCTGGCATATTTTCTGGCATTCTATCTGGCAAATCTTCTGGCATTCTATCTGGCATTCTATCTGGCATATCTTCTGGCATTCTATCTGGCATATCTTCTGGCATATCTTCTGGCATATCTTCTGACATTCTTTCTGACATTCTTTCTAACTTTCTTCTGCACATTCTTTGTCCCATATCTTCCTACATGAGGTCCGGCAGGGAACAATTGGCGTGGATACTCGCGGTTGAGGTCCGGCAGGGAACACTGGGCGTGGATGGTCGTGGTTGAGGTCCGGCAGGGAACACTGGGCGAGGATGGTCGTGGTTGAGGTCCGGCAGGGAACATTGGGCGTGGATGGTCGTGGTTGAGGTCCGGCAGGGAACACTGGGCGTGGATGGTCGTGGTTGAGGTCCGGCAGAGAACACTGTGGATCGCAGGTCGCAGTTGAGCAAGGACGACGAGGACGACGAGGACGACGAGGACGACGAGGAGGAGGAGGAGAGGAGGACGAGGCAGGAGGAGGCGGAGGAGGAGGAGGAGAAGAAGGAGGAGGAGGAGAAGGAGGAGGAGGAGGAGGCAACTGACATAAAATCTAACAACCCTCACCTGGCAGGTGGGGAACAATCTTAGGAAACAGAAACGATGGTTTCATCTGGTTTCATCTGGTTTCATCACTTCTCATGGAACCAATTCATGCTACTTTGGCGTGTGGTTTCACATATATACACATTCGTCGCGTGTATAGTTTTCCTTATCGCAGCAACCATGTGTTTTTCGTGATGCAGTTATTTAGACCACCAAACAGTATTAGTACATTTCCGTATCAACCTATCAAGTTCCTCAAACGACCTCACGGAAAGTCTTGAAAATCACAAATTTGGATGTTTTAGGTGATAAATAATCCCAAAGCTGGTTTGTTCACCGATATTTACCGTTTGTGAATCATGAGACTTTGCGCGTTGAACCATGTTGAACCATGGAAATCAGCACCAATGCCCAGCCACAGATCCAAATGCAGGACCTGCAAAAACGGCGACATTTGGAGCGTGGAGCGGAGGTGGGGACACACCAATTCATGGCCATGCAAAAATCAAACGTGACATGGTAATGTGGCAGACATTGCCAAACCCAACAATAAACCTGCCATTTAAGGATGGTTTGTATTTATATATACCATTCATTTGATTTTATTTGGGGATGGTGTATTATTGAGTTGACAACATGAGTATTCGCCCATTTCAGACGAAGCCAACATCTGGTTTGTCATCATTTATCCTACATCAACTATCAACATGGCAATTTTGGTGTATCCATTTTGAAACAACGGCGGTCAGAAAAACACATCAAATTTTTTCATCTCGCCAAACCCAAAAATCCTTCGGTCATCTACAGGAAATCCCGGAGCCATTGGAGATCTGGAAGTGTTTGGGAGAATCCTTGACCCTGGAACTTCAGAATCTCGGCTATCAGAGATGATGGAGATAGGTGGCCACGTTGTGGAGGGTTTTTTGAAGAGCAACGTTTCTGGCGCTGTTTTTGAATGGGTAATCGTTTGAGCATGCATCCTAAATTACCTGACTGAAATTTTGAACGGATGATAGAAAACCCCCAAAGAAACAAACAAAAATGTCAACGTGGAAATTAAGAGAACTATCATCTACAATATCCTTGAAACACATTCCTATTTTTTTTGGGGGTTGTTATATGATGTTATATGATGACTGTTTGACTTGTTTTTTTGTGGCCACTTCCGCCTGAGGTATTGCGTTTTGCGTTCGCTGCCCCAGCGAGAGCGGATGGCTGAGGCCCTCGGCCCAGCACTTGGATGTCGCTGGGTTCAGCACATGCCATGATGGGGTTGGGTTCAGCGTCAATTAGCCGTGAATGAACGGGCAAGCCTGGCATTCACACTGGAGGAACGGTGGCATTTTCCGTTTAGGACCGGTGGCTTGTCGGCTCAGACATCAACCAGTTGGCACCCTCCCAGCCTTGAGGATGAGTAGAGCTGAACATGGTTGAAGTTGCAAAATTCCCAATTTCCACTCGTCATGTTTTTTTTGTTTTTTTTCCCCAGGGCGTAACATAATATCACCACATCATATATTATACCACCTGTTACCTGTCAGATCCGTAAGCAACATTCAGCAACCACAAAATCATGTTTGGCGTTCCATCATCTTCCAGTTACTCTGAGATAGCTAGAATCTAGAAGGTCAAGGCAGTAAGGACCTGATTGTACCATGGTTTTTATAGGTGAAACAGATCCTTGTGCAGGTGACCCTACAGCTATTCTCAGCCGGAGCCAGTGGGGTGTCATCGGAACTGTGCGCCTGCAACTTCCAGGTGTGTCTTGGCACGCGAAGCAAGGTTTCCATGGGAGTTGACCAAATGCTGAAGTAGCAATTTGTGGGGATTGAAGCGGAAAATACAGGGATCAAATGCTGAAGTCGTTGGGGATTGAAACCAATTGAAGCAACACGGTTGTGTGGATTGAGACGACAGAATACGGGATGTCAAGCTACAAAACACGGTTATGGTCCACCATGAAGCCCAACAAAAACTGAGTTCCGGAAGCCTTGGAATCGAAGGGTTTTCAGATCGAAAATCTAAGGGTGTCAAGTTATCAAACTTGCACTTATGCAATTACGCATGGTTAAGGGTACTTCAACCCATTTTGATGGCTAGTTGCTTTGAGATTTGATAGGCGGAAGCTCCGCACCAACCACCTTGCGACATTGACGAGGATTATGTCTGTCAATCTTCTTCGGAACTGAGGCCAGATGTAGATCAGATGATTCATATGGTGAGACTCTGGTACGATTCTGAGAGCCTTGCCTTCAACAACTCTGACATGTGTGTCAAGGGGAGTGTTGTACACGTGATATGCAGGAGCAGCAGATGTTCTCGCTGTTGCACTTATTTGGCATAAAACCTAATAACCCCCCTGATTTTTTTAATAGATAAATATTGGTTTTTTAAAATGGTGGATTCCCAAGTCACCATGGTTGTTTCAATTCCAAATTGGTCTAATTTTGGATGATTTTTTGGATGATTTTTTGGGAATTCCCATATTAGGAACCCCCCAAATTAATGGTTGCTGCTTGTCCTCTCTGAGTTGCTCACACCCAGAGAGACTCAATGACCTAGGGGATGGGATTAGAGGAAGCATGTCCAAAATGACAATTTCAGGTTAGTGAAGTATCAAGATGCATTAGTATTGCTTTGTAGCAGTTCGCTCCCCATCTTTGAGGATTTCCAGCAGCGTTTCCGCTGTTCCAATCCCATATTTACAGGATGCCACCATATTTCATGGTCAAAACCATGGTTTTCTGTAGATTTTCCCAAGAAAACCAATCCAAGATTCACGAGTCCCCCTTGCGCACGGCGTTCTCGCCGCAGGAAGATGGAGCTGCAGGTCTTCTTCGGCGCGGATGCGGTAGCCCCCAGCGCCAAAGCCTGCGTGGACTTGGGAGCCTTGGATTGGAGGATTTTGACCATGAAACTAGGCAGTAGAATTAGAGAATAACATATGAATCCATATGATAGGCCCATATGGCCCATATTATATATATACAGACATACACATTATTATACGGTAACGTTACCGTATATATATATATGATTATTATATTATGGAGTAGTGAAAATGGCCCATTTAGTTCGTTGATTTACCTACTAGTTGGAAAATAACCATATGAAGCCATATGATAGGTTCATATTGATATTATAATATTATGGGGATTTCATAAGTGTTTTAATCATCAAAATATGGGGAGATAAGTGGAATGAAGCTGAATTGATGAATGATGTTTGATTGTGGTTGCTAAACCCCTGTTGCTCGATGATTCCTGATTAGTTCGGGGATTATACTAATCAACATCTGAGGTTATATGATTTGTTGTTTTGTCACTTCATCAAACATGGCTTGCTGGAAAATATACCATTTAATTTGATGATTTTCCCAGTAAAAGCTTCATTTATAGGGAATTATTCACTGCCATGTTTGACGGATGCTAGCTGAATGAGTTTTGATATGTTTTGATTAGCTTCACTGTTGGGTTTATGGCAGTGAAGTAACTATATGCACCAGCTTGTGAAGGTTTGATTCGTGTTGCAAATTCTCGCGTCATGCAGTCCCGTTTCAGTTGATGTATAAAGCCATTCAACTGTAATTCTTAAGTTATATCCACTTGAAATCCATATTATTGGAGTTTCACATATAAACACACATGTAGCAATGGTTGGGGACCCTTCATGGTTGGCAAAAGACTCAGCCCAGCTGAGGAGATATGGCACATTTGGAGATGGGATGTTCCTATGTGGGGTTGCTTGACTCATTGAACGTTGGGAGTGTAGTCATCCAACATGATCTTCGTTTCGCATGATATCGGCCAATAGCATGGTGAGAATGTGATTGGAACGCCCCAATAAAAAAGTGTCATCAGGATTTGAATGGATTGACTATTGTTGGGAGGACTGAAACGACTGGGGATATCAAGATCATACTGAACCATCTTGTAGAATCTTGTAGCTAATTGGTGACTTAGCATGGCGAAGATCGGGCACCGTGGTCAGTTTGCTATGAAAGGGACATATTCGTGGCAAAATGAATCTGGAAATTATTTGGCGTATAAAAATCACACTATTCATCATCCTGAACAATTTAGCATAGCTGTGGAACATGGCTCATTTATAGCGACGGACAAATACTTAGAACATCAATTGGAAAAAAAACTGAAAACCGTCACAGCGGGGATGTTCTAAGTATTAAGTCGTTAGAACATACCCAAAACCTATACTTAGAACATTTCCAAGCTATACTTAGAACATCCCAGTGGGGAACCAATGGGAACCATATATATATATATATATATGTATATAATATATATATATGTATGTTCGAAGTATTTGTCCGTCGCTAATTATATATATACGTATATATATACACTATATAATACTATATGTAGATATATAGTTCCACACATTTCCACAGCGCAGTTCGCAATGTGGGTTTCCACGGCACAGTTGTCCATTGTATACATGAGGCATCTCCAAAACATTCAAAATTATACATAATTCATTTTAGCTCATTTTAGTATTGAAACCTATGCTTTTTGACTACCCCCTGTAGGAAACCCACAAATTATATACTAGAGACCTTCCCATTGCAGCGAAGACTGCTTGGGATATTGTTCCCGAAGAAAAGGTATAGAATGCTGCAGCAGTGAGGGGAGAAAGTGTTCTAAGTATGGTGTTCACCAAGGTATTTGTGTATATATGCAGATTTACCAAAGTAACAGGACATGTTCTAAGTATATGTGTGTTTAATGTTCTAAGTATGCAAAAAAGTCAAAGGAGATGTTCTAAGTATCTGTTTTTCTGATGTTCTAAGTGCGTACTTAGAACATTTCTGATGTTCTAAGTGTAGTTGTTTTGATGTTCTAAGAAAAGGTTCCGAAATTTTGTGAAAAATGATGTTCTAAGTATATGTCCGTCACTATATAGATTATTTACCTATTAAACATGGTGATGTTCCACGGCCATGCTGAATTATCAGAGGGAAGTTGTGGGAAAGCTTGTTCCTGACACCCTTCAGACTTCAGACCCCCTGCAGACACCCTAGTTTAGTCTCAGATCTGTTCATTTGGGGTCCTCTGTAGGGAAGTTTACATAAGTTTGGTGTTTTGGGGATGGCATTTTCTGGTAATTATTTGCCCGTTTCGAATGTGAGTTGTAGATATTTGGAGAAGATGGCACCGTGTCTTCAGAAATTGTTTCAAAGTCCCAGCGTTACATCATCTGGTGTTTTAAAGGATTAATGACTTTAATAGATTAGATCAGAAAGCAACAGTTCTGCTGAAAAGAACGATGACCATCCAAACAGTCTGTGACTGAATCACGAAATTTACATATTTCCATTAAAGCATCCCATTAAGTCCCATTAAACCTCCATTTCTCCATTGGATATCTCATGAAATTAGATTCCACTAAATCAGTTCTTTGGTAATAGCTTGGACGAGGTTTTCATCCTTGCCCTTGGAGCATGGAAGAGATCCTTGGAGCATACGTTGGATTGGGGCCACAGCGGGCCCGACAATTTTTGGGGGTGCAGTTCCACATAAGAAGTACAGCCATAATGAGGTTACCTCTCAACTAATTGGAGTCAGAACCATTGGGTTTTAAGGTTACAAAACCCATCAATCGGATGAGGCAGACATTGCCATAGGCATGATATTCCACGATATCGGCAGTTATTGACTTAACAATACAAGAATTTGTTCTCTCTGTAGTCTAGAGGTTGTATTGTTGAACGAATCCTATATATGTATATATACCTTATGGACCGGTTGGTCAGAAGTTCCATTTGTCCGGACCAGTTGGTCAGAAGTTTCTTGGCCCCGCCAATGCCGTGCCATCGTGATCCTGGATGCAAGTTCCCAGGAGCGAGAGGCATTGAGAATTGTGACCTGGCGACACCAGTGCCGAGACAGGCCGGACGTGTGGGCGGTATATGGCCAAGTTGTCCTTTCTTGATTTTGGACGTTTGGTTGTTATATATATGGCCAGGTATACCTATAGCCTATAGGTATACCACTTAGAAATCCTAATACATGGCACATGGATGTCGTTTTCCCACTGATTGGTTGATTAATAGAGAGTTTCGCCCATTCAACAACCGTTTTAATAGAAGATGATAATCAATATACCAAACCGGGCCTTCTATTTTCCCAAACGACAATACGGTCCTGATATGATTAACTATGGCCTCGGAAGGACAGGACATTCATGAGTATCCAAACGCTTATATATATAGAATAATAATAAGAATCGTTCTTTTTCTTCGTCCTGTTATGTTTATTTTTCGTCTTTTTTATTCTTCTTCTTATTAGTAGCCTTATATAGCTGTACAGACTACAAGCTGAATTAAACGCCCATGACCCTTCACAGCCCAAGAGGCTTGACTTTGACGACACCAGCGACCGAAACTTTGAGGATCTCACACTCACTTACCAAGCATCATGTCGCTGACTGGGGCTGTGCCCGGCAATTTCCAAAGGGGATCCCCATTCAGAAAAGCGGAGGCACCACCAAAATCACAGATTAGGAGCTTATGTTCCATTAGGACCACCATCCAGTATTAAAGGTTGCAGGGCTTTCAGCTTTTGATCATTATCCACACAGATTCACCGGATTTGATTCCGATCTCCAATTATCGAAGTCTGTGGGACATGGCTTGCCATTTTTGCGATGGCTGAAAAACATGTTTTGCGAAACCATTTCACGCATCGCCAAGAGAGTGAGCAACCTTCTATCTTCTATCTACATCTATATATTTTTCAATATTCCGTGGACTATGTGCTCTGAATAGTTGAATAGACTATAATTAATGATTAAATTTTGGGGCTGAGGTTTGTTCACAGTTCACAGCAACCCCTGAATAGATAGAAAAAAGGCGGAAACTTGAAAAATATGGGGAATACATTTTCGAACTACCATCCTGGAAGAACTTGTTTTGGTGTGTTTGTTTGGTTGTTTTCCCGGGACCACCCTATTCAGTGTGAATGATTTGTGTCCATCCAAATCGCGGAAAAAATATATGTGGTACATCAATTAACCATGGGATTACAGAATGATATGTGATTATACTATATGCGTTGAACATGACATTATAGTAACCCACCGAAAAGATAGAAAATAATTGTTTCATCACTACCCAAGTGGGATTGTATTTATCCACCTTTCTTAGGGGTTTACTATGATGTTTTGTTTTTCCAGCCATAGCGACGACATTTTTTGCTTCCCACGTTCCAGGGGTCCGAGGTACCTTGGCCCTTGCCGCTGATTGTGACCCAAAGCTGCCTCGAGAGGCTCTCGGAGAATTATGGGAAAACGCTGTGATGTTTGTGATGTTGGTTCATGTTGATTCCCCACCTGCCAGGTGAGGGTTGTTAGATTTTATGTCAGTTGCCTGCTCCTCTCCTCCTCTCCTCTCCTCCTCTCCTCTCCTCCTCCTCCTGCTCAACCGCGACCCTCGACGCACACTGTTCTCTGTCGGACCTCAACCACGACCATCCACGCCCAGTGTTCCCTGCCGGACCTCAACCACGACCATCCCCGCCCAATGTTCCCTGCCGGACCTCAACCACGACCATCCATGTAGGAAGCTATGGACCTCAACCTGGGACCTGCCGAGCTCAGTGTGCACCGCTGGACTTCAACGGCCCGATAGAATGCCAGAAGATATGCCAGATAGAATGTCAGATAGAATGCCAGAAGATATGCCAGATAGAATGCCAGAAGATAAACCAGATAGAATGCCAGAAGATATGCCAGATAGAATGCCAGAAAGTATGCCAGGTAGAATGTCAGATAGAAGGCCAGATAGAATGCCAGAAGATATGCCAGAAGATATGCCAGATAGAATGCCGGATAGAATGCCAGGTAGAATGTCAGATAGAAGGCCAGATAGAATGCCAGAAGATATGCCAGAAGATATGCCAGATAGAATGCTAGAAGATTTGTCAGATAGACTGCCAGATAGAATGCCAGAAATATGTCAGAATATATGCCAGAAGATATGCCAGATAGAATGCCAGATAGAATGCCAGAAGATATGCCAGATAGAATGCCAGATAGAATGCCAGAAAATATGTCAGATAGAATGCCAGAAGATTTGCCAGTAAGAAAATCTATAAATGTCACGGTGGGGATCACACGAAGTAAAGTAATTTTTCTTCACCCATATAACTCAGCTATATTGTGGTGATAGCGTTGTATCTTCCTCTTTCAGCCCAGTTAGATAACACTGGCCACAAACTTAATTGCCTATTTGCGGGGTACCACATTGTAATCACCTAATTGCGATATTTGCGGTAGTGAGTTTGAACTATGAAACTCATGAAGCTGGTGGAAAACATGTGGCCGCCAGTGAAAAACCATGTTGCCGAGTGGCCAATATTGCAGAAATCAAGATTACTCAGCTTGTGAAAATTGGGAGACTGGCCCCACTACTGGATCAGCTGGATCAGGTGAATCTGCCCACATTGTTTGGTACCCCCAAGTTGGTTTATTTCCCTGAGGAGGGCAGTATCGGCAAAGTAGATCCCACAAGGCTACTTGTTCGATAATGCCCAAAAACAAAAAAATATAATAATATATACTTGTCGGAATTTTGTCGGATTTTCTTGGATCTTCCTGGATGTCTAGGCAACAGTAGTGGTAAAAAGAGTGGTAAAAAGACCCAATGTCAGGATCTACTTTTGAGTTGCGCGTGACCGACCGTGACAAAACCAGTGACACACCATGACGAATATACTGTATACATATTTTCTTATTCAACATGTTGACTTCCGAATTGCCATGACTGCCGGTGACAGCCCGTTCAAAACCAAATTTTCATGGTGTTGCCCTGAGTCTGACTCCCAAATTTATCGGAAGAAAAAAGTTCCGTTAAGTATGGGAATTCGATGCACTTACCACCTTTTAACACCTGTATAGTGAAAAACACCAATTTTTTTGATAAGTGAATTTATAGCATTTTATAGCACCATCTTTTGATCCTCAGGGTTTACATCTCCATTCTTTTCTCGTGATGTAATGTTGCTATATGTTGTTATTTGTTTGTCATATTCCTATGCTTGCCAGTTCTATCATATCTCGGGTTTGCTTGTTATGGTCGCTCTATCCCCATCATGTTCTTTGTCTTACAAACATACATTCCAATTTCTATCGCTGTGGGAAAATTAAAACCACGGCTTCACACAGACCTCGTCAAAGATCATGGTTAGGAGAGATAATGATCACATAATTGATTAAAGTGTGATACAACTCCCCAGTTTCGAATACAACTCGCCAGTTCCCGAATACAACCGTGACCTGTCATAATTGGCTCATTTTGGGCTTGGGAATAATAAGTTGCCCAGATGGCTACCCCAGTGCCATCAACAACAGCTCGTAAAAGTTGTCCCGATCACTATATACACCTCTTCGGAAAATACTATACATCATATCTACAACATATCTACATCATATATACATCATATCTACATTATATCTACATCATATCTACAGCATATCTACATCATATCTACATCATATATACATCATATCTACATCATATCTACATCATATTTACATCATATCTACATCATATTTACATCATATCTACATCATATCTACATCATATATACATCATATATTCATCATGTATACATCATATATACATCATATATTCATCACATATACATCATATCTACATCATATCTACATCATATATACATCATATATACATCATATATACATCATATCTACATCATATACAGATAATATATACATCATATCCACATCATATATACATCATATCTACATCATAAACACATCATATATACATCATATCTACATCATATCTACATGATCTATACATCATATATACATCATATCTACATCATAAATACATCATATATACATCATATATATATACACACACCACACTTATCTCTTGGCCTTTCCTCAACTGCCTGCCAGGTACAACCGGCTCTTTCAGCACCTGCTGACCTACCGCCACGCCACGATGCGTCTGCAGCATCTCCAGCCGGACGCGGACGACGAGGAGCGAGGGCGCTTGGCTGCGGCATTGAAGGCGCAGCTGTGCTTCTTTTGGACGCAGGTGCCATGGGAGCCATGGGAAAAATTTGGGGCTAGTCATGGGGGTACCCCGAAATCATCTATTTTTTGGGGATTTTCCATGATAAACCTGGAACATTTTGGGTGAGCGCCATTTTCGGAAAGCTCCATATGTAGCGATTTGACCATGATCCATTGGGATTTTTTTGGACTATGGATGATTATGGATGATTCCGTGGGATTTTGTTCCATAGAATTGATGGGATTTCATGGGACCGTGCCATGGGAAGCCAGTAGGGTATAGCGCTATATGATCCTCTCAGCTTCAGGGGTCGAAGATGGTGAAATCCTCCAATAGGTCGCTGGGCTTTCATCTGTAGCTGATTTGTGAATTGAAATATACGTTCTGTTTTCTAGTCGTGCCTTGCTCTCAAAGGCCCCATAGAAACCACGTTTCAGTAGGGGATGGAATCACATATTTAGCACCATACAACGGGGGTGTTTGATATTAGGAGGATGGGATTATGTTAGATTCCTGTTTTTAACGATGAAACACAATTGACTATTTATATCCTACTCATAGTTGGATGTACGTTCCATATAATCCCATATATATATATATATCCGCGCTTAGTTTCCCCAATTCTATGAAGGTGGAAAGATGTAGTAAGTATGGTAACACTCAGAAGAATTTAGGAGTGACTCGGAGTGACTACAACCTGGATGCACATCCACATCCAATAATGAACCTCCATCTCAGTATAGTAACCCAAAAGATCCCCAAGTGGTGAAGACTTGGCATTGTGTGGCAGGTTTGGGGGTTGATATTCATGGTGAGCTCCCCCATTTATTGAAGAGACACATCTATGTGGGACCGAAAATCTGACTCTGAAGACGCTTCAGACCATCCCATTTTGGGGAATCCCATTTCTGTTGAAGTGGTAAGCCACCAGGTGATGATGGAGATGATTTACCAACTGGACTCTGGGTCAAAAGGAATCACGCTACATGTCCACTTGATGAAGTCATGCACAGTTTCGAGCTGTTTCCATCTCCGGGGATGATAGCATAGCTATCACGGCGCCAGGTCTTGCAGTTCTTCTTGCAGGCGAAACGTGCCGACGATGTGTGGAGATTTGGACAAGATCCCCCAATGTTTGAAGGTTCAACATGTACCATCTGGTTATTTAACATAGCCATGGAAAGTCAACATTTTTAATAGGTAAACCGGTAAACCATCTATAAATGGGCCATTTTCCATGGCTATGCTAAATAACCAGATGGTAGGGCTAATGGCTAGCCATTCAAGATAGGGATCGCGTGGGTCAAGTGGGACTTGAAAGGTAATCTTGGCGCAATGTCATTGCCTTGCCAAACCTGTCCATCCTGGACCAGCAACCAATCTTTGACGTGCCATCTCTTAATCCGACATATCAACGAAACATGTTCATTTCTGATTGAGACACACCCAGTACAAAAAAAGACGGACATGTCCATTCACTTTGTATTACCAGGGTTCACTAATCATCATCCATCATCAATCATCAACCATCATCAACCATCATCAACCATCATCAACCGTCATCGACCATCATCAACCATCATCAACCATCATCAACCATCATCAACCATCCACCCAATGGCAAACTACTCCCAAGCTGTAGTACTCCCGAACAATCTTCAGCCCGAAATCATTTGCTTTATTTGGAGGTTTCTTAAAGCGGGGATAACCCTAAATCATCCATTTTCATAGTATTCCATATTTAAACATGTACAAACCATCCATAACTTGGGGTACCCCCATCTTAAGAACACCCAATTGATGTCCTCAGAGGACGTTGAACTCGACAGGATGTCGTGGAGGCATCGCATCAGAAACTCCTCGAGGCGCCATGTCGTGACCAGCTGATTGTAGCCATAGAGATCTAGACATTTAGCCATTTTGGGCTGGGCGTTAGTAAACCCGATTTATCACACAAAAGTGAAACTCTGAGCGGATCAACAAACCACCAAATACCACCAAGATTTAGCCATCCAAGGGCCTTGCTTGAATGATCGTCCCGGTCCCTATCGGCCCTAACCGCTCATGCCTAGCTGAATGATAGCCACAGGGGGCAAAACAATGGCAAATCCCAGCACAACTGGTTGGGTGTTCAACCATACTTGGGGATGATTTAAGATGACCATGCACTTTCAACTTTCTGGGAATGGGTTTAAACATGTTAAAAAGCACCAAGCAGCCTTCAGATCTTGCGCCAAATTTTGGCGCCTGTCAAAAGAGGTGGTCACTTCATCCTCCAGCTTTGATGAAGTGGTGGCAGCACATGAAGAGCGACTCGGAACGACGAGATCGCTGGGAGATCGGGGAAGGCAACTTTCATTGTAAACTAAGAAAACGAGATGGAAAACATGGCTGGTTTCCCTGGGAAATTAGCTATACATGGCAGATTTTATGTTTGTCACCTGGCTGGGAACTATGAATGCGCGTTTATATTGGGAACTAAGCAACCAAACATGTGTTGTTGCTTGATGGTGATTGCTAACTTGTGGGATTGACACGGATTGGCCACAAGCGGTCATTTCGAATTTTCTTACAGTGCCAATCAGGTCGTCCAGTTTTTTTTTTTTATGTTGCTGGTATTAACATATATGAAACTCGTATAGATTGGCACGGAAATCCCGCTTTCAACCACCGACTGAGAACGAACTTCATGACCATCCCACTGGTGCAGAGGTTTCTGTCCAATGTCACTACGCATTTCTTCCTGGAGCACCGGGAGCTCCGAAAGGCGGGGAGGAAGCCAAGTACAGTTGTGCATCCAAGGTCACAACTGGATAATGGTCTACAAGAACAGTTAGAGTTGGTTGTGAATCATTTACTCACCTGGGATGTACTTCCAAGTAGAGAAAGACATATCCAAACAGCACTGTTTGGACCTTTGTTCTTTTGTTTTCCAGATGATTCCGGATGCAAAACACTTCCATCACTCTACTCCCTCTTCCCAATCCTATCCAATCCCGTTTTTTGCCACATCTCCTTAGAGGCCCGTTCGCATAGCTGAAATCCATTTATAAATCCATGTTAATCACCATTCTTGCACCATGTTTCCATCTTTTTTTCCAGCTAAGAGTCCAGCTAAATGAGCCTCCCACTGATGTTCATACGACCATTCCGGGACAACCCTCAGTCCTGCCCGTAAGAGTACTAAGATCCCCCCCATTTTAGGCCCCCAGGTGCCATCCCCCGGCGCCAGGAGTTGACCGCCGCGCTGCGCATCGCCGAGGTCTTCCGCAGGGCGGTGGAAACGGCCGCGCTGAGCGGCAAGGAGATGAGGTGGGGCACCTTTATTTGGGGATGCCATGGGGAAAAAATCATGGAATTTTCTGGGATATAATGGGAACATCATATGACTAAGGATATAATGGAAATCAAACACATCTATAAATGGAGTTTAACTCATTTAACATTGATGTGTTTTTTAGGTGTCATCTAACATTTCCATTAAATGGCTATTCAAATAATGTTTTCCTTAGGCCACGCTAGATACCCATTGGGTGGCTTCATAACATGGGAATATTATTCCGGAATTAAATGGGATATCACGGGAATATAACAGGATCATCGATATCTATTGATGGTGGTATAATGGGGATCTAATGGTGGATTTAATTTGTCATGAACGGGTTTTTCCGGTGATTTACAAGGATTTATACCCATCATACATAGGGATTTTAATCCAACATGTTTAGGTCTATAGCAACCCCAAGTCATAGATATAAAAATGGGAAAATGTTCGAAAGCTGGAAAATACATGAGATAGATAGAATCTATTAATGGGAATTGAGTGGAATTTAATGGGATATCATCTAGAAAATTGATATATCTATATATATATACAGTAATTATGTATAATTATAATATGGATAATAATATAGATATATATATATAATGGTGGTCAAATGGGGATTTAATAGGATTCTGATTCAGGACACGGACACGTGTTTTCCCTCCCTGATCTCTATGCGCGAGGCGTTTACAACACGACTTCGCCGAGACGGTGCGATCCTTCAGTGGGATCATGCTGAGCAACTTGGCCAAAAACGGGCACCCGCTGTCATCAAACGTGGCTGGCTGGAAATTCCAATTTTTACGGAGGTTAAAGTAGGCTTTCCAGGGAACAATGATATACAAACCTCCATCGAAATATTAACCTCCATCTATATTTCGTGGCTGGCTGGATATAAATATTATAGATGGAGGTTAAGGCGTGGGAACATCATCGAACTGATCACCGGAGGGTCTCAACTGAATTTGTCTGATAGGGATACCATATTGGGATGGTCCTTTCTTTTGAATTGGGAGAGTCAGAAAAACATAGATTGATGAATGGTTCCGAACTTTTGATTGTGTACCATATGTGGATATATATATATATGGTAGATCACAGAGATGCCTCTTGGCATATATATATATATGGATATATGATGATATATGATGATATATGTGTGGATTAATTTCCAGCTATATCAGCTATTTCGATGTGATCATCAGGATACTTGCGATAGCGTGCGTGACCCTTGGCCAATGACTGCAGCATGTGAAACTTCTTCCAAACCCTGCACGTTGATGTGAACTTTCTGAGGCCCCAAAACTGCTGATGGACTGGAGATTCTAAAAGGTCAACCTATAGAAACAAAAACCATCAAAAACCGCTCTTTTCTAAGATGAAACACATGTGAATGTGAACATCGATCTTCCAGCGTAGGGTACCAACATGTACCACGTTTTTGCTCCACAGCCGGCACTGACGATTTTTGTTTATCGGATCGCTGAGGCATCAATCGAACCGGCAACGTCAAGATGCCTCTCCTGGTCCAACTTTCCGGGCGTTGCTCGACTCGAGAAGGGGGCAATGCCGGCAAGAAGTAAATCTCTGGTTATTTGCTACATAGCCATGGTATAGATGGCTCATTTATAGATGGTTTACCTATTAAAATGGTGATGTTCCATGGCTATGTTAAATAACCAGATGGTAAATCTCTGATCATGAGACGATGAAAGAAACACATAGTTGTTTTCCTGTATAGTGACCATCTGATATATATATATATATATATATAACTGTTAGCTATTGTTCTGAAAATCAATATTACAAGTAGCAGGGTTTGCAGTTTTACATAATGTTTTCTCAGCACTTTCTTCAGCAGATGGATGGTCAGGTGCTGTAGGAAGGACTGCCCTACATTTTGGGTGTCGCAAATCATCCAGGTGACTCAGGTGACATCATTGGTCTAACAGTCTAACACATCACTGGACCTCCTATTCGCGTTGGTGCAGGTCAATTTTTGGGAACCCCAACATATGAATAAATATGAGCTAGTGGCGCTAAACCCATGAAACATATTGAAACATGACATTTCACTGACATCAAAAGGACCAGTCCATTTGTGGTTCCCGTTGTGGTCGGGGTGGTTTGACGACCGCTCCAGGCTTGGATTTCAACAACTATTTCTCCGGTGAGACGGACACCAAACGAGCACAGAGCTGGTGGCAGAAGTATGGATCCTCGGAGGAAATGCATTGCATGTTTTGTCACTTGCAACTGGATTTTTCGTGGCTAAGGTGCATAGAATATGGGTGGTAAGAGGAAACCAAACAAGCGTGGCTGTAGCTGTTGCAGATGGTGAACACAATATGATATGTTACCCAGTTGTTTTGTGGGGCTTGACATCTTGATGGGTCACCACTCCATTCATTTGTCAGGTATGCAGGTTGCCAAAAAGTACAGGTTTAAGCCAGTTTAAGCTGTAAAGATGAGGCATGTTTAGGCAGTCGTTGCGAGTTTCAAGCCGTTGTGGTGGGGTTGCACATGTGCATAGACTATGTTACATCATCGATCTGCCCTCATGGCCGCACAATCCAAGCCAGAAAGCAAGTCAGGAAAAGGAGCCAATAGATACCGACAGATACTCCATACATGGCTTCCACAGCTTTTGTTTGAACAGTAGCGTCCGTGCGTGTTTGAAAGGGAAGGTACGTACTCAAAAGGTGGGACTCCTGCTTTGGAATTTTGCAATATCAAAGTGAAAAAGGCCGCACATTTTAGATTTGTTCCTCAACAATGTATCAAAGCAGTCAGTTTTAAGCTTCCTCAGAATTGATTGAATTCGAAGCTAATATTCACAGGAAATCCTGATATTTGGAACAGATCTTTGTTTCCTCTAGTTGTTGTTTCAAATAGTCTCACCCTTCACTCACTTTTTGATGGGGAAAACACGTCCAAAGTGGTGTGCTCAGGATCTGCTGATGGATGACCATGGACAGCATCATCTTCCAGTTCTGGCAAGTTCCACGGCAAAGCTTCCGCATGTCGCAGGCTTTGGAGTCATCACCTCGGTGTTCGGGATGGCACTGCAGTTGGTTTGGCGCCCTGGCGAAGGGGGACTGGGTGAGATGAAGTGGGCTTCCTCTTTGGAGCAGCTGGCTTGCCCAAGCAGCGCCTGGTGGCAACAAGACATTGACCAATAGTGACGGTCGAGCAGGTTGTAGAGTGCCATGTTGCAACTGCAGCTGCCGCAGCTGCGTCACCAGTGAAAAAGGCACCACGGGTGTGGTTGCTGGGTCTGAAGTTAGGAGGAAAGCCTCACGGAAAAACATGTGGAAAGGTCGGGGTTTTATTTTGCCCTATTCACAACAACATACAACAACTTGTGCCTTCGTTGGGATTTCCCTTGTACCTCCTTGACAGTGGCACCAATTTCTTGCTCCCAAACATGCTTGGCCATGGCAGGAAGAGCCCACGGGCTAAGGCATGATTTAAAAGAATGCCACGGGTGCCTATCATAGGGTAAACCATTTTGACGCATCAAATGTTGACCATGTTGACCTTAAAATCATGAAATAATTACACACATTTTAGTGTTAAATCATGCCTTGGGGGGCAGGCCCATAAGTATTGCCAAGAGAGGTTTGCCTGAATGCTCCGCCTGACCCGGCACGACACGGCTTTGAGATGTTGCCAGGCAAATTTTACCTATAGGGACGGACCTAGTACTGGGGAATCAAATACCACAATGGTGACCATAGCAGTCCACAATTTGTAGAATTATCATTCATGAATATTCATGAATATACATGAATATACGAGAATGTAGACCGATGCAATATTTTTGAAAAGATCTAGTCTAGAAATTCCAATTCGTCGGTTTCAACATGTTTCAACTACCTCGCCCCTTCATCCGGCGCTAAACCAAGGCCATGATTATGATGTTGCCCTTTGTGCAACACCTGCGATTCTTTTTCGGCCATTGGGGTCCTCCTGGCCATCTTGGAACGGGTTTCACTGTTGTTATCGATGCGAAAGAACGGTGCACCCTCCGGTAATTAAACGAAGCAATTGAACATTTATGAACATCTGCTAGAAAAATGGAGGCTTTCAATGGGAAAATCATCCAACAGTGCTGGATCTTCCATTGTCATGTTTGATTATTTGAGGATGATGATGTTGAGGACATGCTACAAAAAAGTTTGTTCTTAAAGACATGACCACATCGCTTTTATCACTTCAAAATAGGCATTTATACTATTTTATACTAACATCTACATCTACAACATCCCTTTTATGGCATGTTGATATTGAAAATCATGGTGAACAACAAGTGGGGAATGTTGCCCAAAATCACACAAACCCACAAATGAATACCAATGAGCAGTAATTAAACGTAAAATGCATATGTTATAATATTTTATACGTAGATTCATGGCCTGCGGGAACTATGGGTTTCTGTACCTACGACCTACACAATTTTACTCCAGGATCTTTGAAACACGTCCACTGTGGGGAGCATGCCATTGAGTGCAGCCAGGCATGGAACTTGGATTGGTCTATGACCTTTCGGCGTTTCTTGGGAATGGAAGGATTCGTGGCGGCGGTTTTGCGAAAGATGGGGTATCAATGGACCCATAGATTTGGTATCATGTCTTTAACGATCGCTTTTTTGGGTGGTCAATAAATTTAAAACATAACCATCTCGATCCCTGTACGAGGCAAGATAGGGATAGGACCTAAAATCATGGGGAGTGCCCCAGCAAAGACTAATTAGAAGGTATCACATGGTATATCACTGACCCGCAAGACGTGAATGAGTCCGACTAGCATTGAGCAACAATAGTGTGAAACAGCGTAATGTGTGTAATGTGTATGGCTGACAGGTATCATAGCGACCTTATATCAATGGTTGTCAGTTTCACAGATCAGCCGTGTTATTCATTGTTATTCCATCCCTATCAGCTCCAAGTCTGGGATGATAACTTCCAGTGTCAAGTGGGGAGTTTTTTTTTCTGGTGTTTGGAAGCCTTTTTTTGTGTACCCTGGGGAGGTTCAGGCTGAACATGAACTTTATGGGGTCGTGTTTGCCGGGAGATCAGTGGTTTCGATCCGCTTGGATATCTCGTGTGCGAGGTACCTGAAGGATACAGCTTTGTGCAAAAATAAATGGAGTATTAAATCTCTTGGGAGATTTGAACAAGTAATTAAGATCCCCCTGGGGAATAGCTGTATAGAATGAATCAAGGGGGTTGAGCTCCAAAAACAGGTTCATTTTATACAGGGGTTTCCCTCTGTGGTTGGGCTTCACTGGGGAGGGTTGTGATTCTATAGAAGTCTCAGGGTGTCAAACTCGAGCTTGGAGGTCTACGTTTTATATTAAGGCTAGCTTGGAGGCCTAGATTGTGTACAGTTCAATTCTTCTTGGGGGTCCTGATTATATATAGAAAAAAAATGTGTTTTTCTTGGGGGTCCTGATTTTGTACCTATAGAATCAGACACCTCAACCCTTTAGGTGAATTCCCAAGAGGATTAATTAAGCATTCCTATCTTCACTGCAGAAAGAAGACAGGTATCAACTTTTCGCAGAGGTGTCTCCTGTGTCGATGGTATCAGAATCATGGTTACAGCTCCAGATCGGTGACCGGTTTCTTACTTTGATGTCCAGTTGCGATTCGCAATTGGTGATCATAGCTAGATGTCCCATCATGTCCCATCGATAGGGGCGGCATCGATATGGGCGAAGCTCAGTGATGTTTAGCTCATAAACGACTTACATACCCCATAGGATCCATGTATGCTATATATAGTAACATTTACCATCCATATACCCCAAATATTAGCATATATACCATACATGGATCCTATGGGTACTGTCTTTGTAGTGCCCCGTGTTATTATAAGCTGCTGAATGAACATCCATTCCACTGCAGATATATCCACTTTATCAATCCAGCCATGACTCGGCGGATCAATGGTTGGTAAATTCCCATCACCATCACGACGAGCGAATTCACAACAGGATTCCAAGTGTGACTTTAGTTAAAGCTATCCCACTAGTTAATTCATGTTAATTCTTATTGACATGAGTTTGCTAACTAATTAATACTAATATAACTGGTAACTTAGCGGGACATCAGTGCCAAAAACCGGGGTCAGATCCGGGAGGTTTCTTATCCTGTCATCCGTGAAGATTTGCATGCTGATGTGCCTTGGCGCTCGGCGGCTAGGTGATGCCACAGGTCCTTATCCAAGGTTGGTTTACAACTAGCTTACTTGTACCGGATTTATGGATGTTTCCGGTCATTAGAATATGATTAGAATTATACATATATTATATATACATATATATATATAGTTAGATGGGTTTATAAACCAATTTGGAACTTGGGGACATCACCTTGTAGAGATTTAGCCAACGACAAATTGGCATTTATTCGAGAAAATCGGTATGGTTCAAGATTGAACACATCCAAAAACCATAGATGGACTGCTAATCTTTAGTAACGTCAATGGTTGGCCATCACAGTATCGGGTATCCAGTGGTTTCATTTGTCTTGACAGATGCTGATTTTGGGTTGTGCTGAAGATCAGGGATTGATGGATATATTGATGGCAGGGTGCAGTAGCCACTCACAGACTCCGTCAGGTTCAGGGAACTGGTTGCTTCAGGTCCAAAGCTTTTGTTCAGACACATTGCGTAGTTTGCTTACAAGTGGTTTGTCTAACGTTAAGATCAATGGTTTCACGGCACTTTTCGTGCAGGTTCCATCGCAGATTGTGAAGTTGATGTTCTCTATGCTTTGACGTTTCTAATGGTTTGTCGCATTGTGCTTACATTGTTGATCATGTCCGTCCGGATTACTCTTGTTTTTCGTTCTTTTTTGGTGTTCTCCGTATGATAACATTGTGGGTTGTGCATGTACACACATGTCTTCATTGTTCATTACCTACGTTTACGGGACTGAGCAGACAACGGCGTCTTAGAGCCAAAGACAGGCGATTGTTGTCTCAGTATCGTTGCTCTCTACCAATAGTTTTTTTTTTTTAATAGGTTGAAATTAAGTTACTTACGTTGAAGTTAAGTGAAGTTAAAATAGGTAGTGTTAGGGCAACTTAGAACGAAGTTACTAAGTTCGTCTTAAGTTAAAGTTAAGTTCCTTTTTTTTTTGAAAACGTGGTTTCCCTTGGCTGGCGCATTTTTTTGGTCTTGTGCGGCTTTATTAGTAGAGGAAGGTGATTGCCACCACACTGGCTCATAGATCTCATGGTGAGGTTTCAGTTTGCACAGAGCAAATTTTGGCTGCAGAGAAAATCTCATGGCCGACACTGGCCGACATCCAGCCGACACGCGGTGTGCAAACCTGCAACATGGTGTTTAATATTACTTTAGCAGGGCCGACATGCAGGCCGACATGCTGCGAACATGTTACATGTGAATGCTGGCCGACATCTGGCCGACATGCCATGCAGACGCAAAAGGTTCTGTTTTGCAGTCTTTGATCCTTTCCATGTCATATATTGATGTTTGATCCAACGTGAATGGCTCCCCCAACAGTTTTCCCCCAAATGGCTACAACGGAAGTCAGTCCTGAGATCTGTTCAACACAAAAAACAACAATAGCTAACTAGACTTAAGTCAAACCTAAGTATGATCTAACTCCAACCTAACTAAAACATGTTAACTAGCCTAAGTTGATCTAAGTATACTCAAGTAACTTATAAATAATGATCTATACTTACAAGTTACTTAACATAATTTAAGGCAAGTTATATCAAATTGTAAGCAGCTTATGAATAGCTTATAAGCCGATTGTAAGCTATTTATATTTAAAAGAAACCTATTGGTACACCGTGCAGTGCAGCAGGTACTTCCTCTTTTTGCAGGCCTTCATCATGTCCCCTGGTGGCACTGGTCGTGGCCATGGACCAGTCATGGCTGAGTTGGACCATGGGGACCATGGCACTGGTTCGTTGTTTTTTAAGGGAATTGAGAGGACATGTAGCATGGTATGGCCTTTCTACTTTTGTGGGTTTATACTGTTTATACATTTCCAGCTACTCACAGGAGTTGAACAACCGCAAAAGCTTTAAGTTGAATTATTTATCCAGTGGTTAGGAGGGAGCTGTCGAGCTCCGAGTTGCCCAACTACATGATAGCTATTTGAGCAGTGCTCAAAACCCCTGTTGGTTGATACATGGGGTTATACTATCCAATATTATCCCATCTATGGATATATATATATATTATATATATTATAAATATATATATT